TGGCCACATCTAACTCAAATCACTTCCTCACTCCAATACGGTCACCTTGGGAATTGGGGTGCCATGTGAACTGTATGAATTTGGGGCACAAGCAGGTGACAGCAGGCCTTTCAAACATCCCTCAGCAGAAGAATCTGAGACAATCTCTCGCTCTGAACCTGGTTCTTCTCCTTCCTAGGGGAGCAGGGCCACCCGGCCTCCCTCACAAAGCGCGAGTTAATAGTGGATGACCGGCCTGAACTTAGGAGTGTTCAGAGGTGGTTCTTGAGGTTCCCTGCTTGTCCCCCACCCACCAGTCCCCACCACTGGTTTTAGGCACACTGGCTAGAACATACCTGACTGGGGAAGGCATCAGGGCAGGTAGGGGCCAAGAAGACAGTGTGTTTCCTAAGTGGCACCAAACAGCCTACCACAAGTTGGTCCAGTGAGGGCCAGGAGACAGGCCATGGCTGGCCTGGACCACGGCCACTCTGCCCCTGTGGTGGGAACACCTTCTCCTTCCCTGGGCCTTGGCTGAAGGCTGCTCACTGGCCTCTGTGTAGTTTTCCTCAGCCCTTCCCCAGGGTCAGGGAGGACACAGTGTGCTTTTCTGTTGTAGTTGTTTGTTTTGGTCACTGAGGATTGAACTCAGGGGCACTCAACCACTGCCCCACACCCCCAGCCTTATTTTGTTGCCGAGTCGGGCTTTGAACTCGTTATCCTCCTGTCTCAGCCTCCAGAGCCACTGGGGTTACAGGCATCTAGTTTTTGATGAGCTTTCCTGCCAGGTGTCCTTGCCAAGGTTGGAGGAAGAGCCCTTGGCAGGCCAGGAATCGCAGTTCTGGGCAGGCACCTTCCTGTCTTTCCTGCACCTGGAGGCCCCGCAGCACTCTGAGGTGCATGGTTTGGCAGAGACCCATGAAGTAATGAAATCAGGGCAGACACCGACTCTCACCTGCAGGAAAGGGAGCCGAGGGTAGAGCAGGCAGGTCAAGGGGGGTCGCCCTCCAAAGACTCACAGGTACCGGCACAAAACTGTCACATTTTGCAATTCCATTCTTGTTGTTGATCTCATTTGAGCCACATGCAAATAGTAAGCTGTTTTCAAGATACAGATTCATCTCACATAAGACCTGGAGGTTTACACAGTCTTAATGCGGGTGGGATTTTAGTTTCACCTACTTCTAATCCCTTCCACCGCATCCACCAGGTGATGTTCTCACCGGAACCTGGACCTGCTGCCTGAGTCAGTCCCCTTCTGGGTGAGTCCCTCACCCTGTCCTTCCTTTGGCCTCAGGCTCCCAGTGTGTGGGGACTGAGGACACCTGGCATCGTAGCCGATGGACAGAAGTGTGAGGCAGAAACGTGAGTTCTGGGGAGATCAGTCCTCGGGAGATTCAGATTTGACTGGAAGCGCTCCTGGCACACCGCCGAATGCTCAGCCCCCCAAAATGAAGCCCACTGTGGCAAGTCCTCCAATTAGTTTCCTTTCTGGGGCTCTTGGAGGCCTTGATGAACTTGTCTTTGGAGGCCACAGGCTCTAGTTAACCACCCTCTGCTTCCCACAGCCTCTCCCTGCCAGGATTGATTAATGGATCATTGGCTCTCCTAGTGGCCTCTGCTAGAGCCCCTAACAGTGGTTGCTTCTGGGCTCCGCGGTGGCACCATGATACTCTTTATTTTTTTTTTAATAGATGAAAGGATTTATTAGTTTGGCTAGAGCACCCTTTTGAACTCGTGATCCTCCTGTCTCAGCCTCCAGAGCCACTGATTCATTGATTCATTCAATTTACTCAAAATGTTTATCAAGCCCCTGCCCTGTGGTGGCACTGCTGTAGCCTCTGGGGGAGTCGTAATGACAAAAGGACCACATATCCCTGCTGGCACAGGAAGAACAAGTGAAGAAAGCAGTATCTTATTAGCCAGTGCTGTGGAGAGAAGTCAGGTGGAGGTGGGGGCCGGGAGGGCTGTGGTGCCCCCTTGCGATTTTACTTGGGAGGACAGGGATGGTCTTACTGAAAAGGTGACATTTAAGTTCAGGGTGACATAAGTTTCAATGACACCAATGAATAAAGATTGTCAAAGTTTTCTAAAAACAGGTTTTCCCTATCTTCCTCATAAGCTTTCAAACATGTCCATTTTCCTTAGCAAAGAATAATGTCAAAGAATGGCTTAAAGAGACCTTGTGGATAATAAGGGTTGCACCCTGGGACCTTGGTACTGCCATTTGGGACTCAATAAATAAAATCAACAAGACTCCGAGTTCAGGCAGTGAAAGAAGAATGGCTGAGACAGAACAGAGGATGCCAGTATCTGTGTACTTGGCTGCAGTGACACAGGAGTCGAGTGGCGCTGCCAGTGCTTCATTTGAGTTTCTCAATAGCATTTTCACTGAAGCGGAACAAGCCTTAAAGGAAGTGGTCCCTTCTACGCCCGGGGCAGGGAAAGCACAAGGGGAACCTGGCTTCTTGTTGTGCCAAAAATAAGATTCTTTTTTGTTTTCAAGGAGAGGCAGGATGTTCACAGCAGCTTGGCACCCAACTGGCCAAATTTTGGACATTTTGAGCTTCAAAAATAAATACAGTAAAAAAGAAGCCATGAGTTTATGATGTACTAAAAGGAGTAACAGTGGTTAGAGTTCCTTTTTACAGAAGATAGAGTCTAGTAAATACAGAAGGAATGTCCTGAGCAGCTTTTCTGCTGCCATGCCCGGCCACCATGATGTGTGTTCTGCCTCACCTCAGGCTCAGAGGAAAGGAACCCACCAACCACAGACTGAAACCTCCAAAACCATGAACCAAAATAAACCTTTCTTCCTCCAAGTTGTTTGTGTTAGGTATTTTTGTCACAGTGATGAAAAGCTGACTGACACATATTGTAATTGAGAAACCGCATTTATCATCATCTATACTGGGATGAGTAGAATAGGAAGTAGTCAACAACACCTATGAAGTACACTTCCTAAAAATGTTTTACCTGAATCTAATCATGAAGAAACAACGAGATAAATCAAGATGATGGGACATTGGACAAGACAACTGCTCGGATCTATTAAGAAATGTCAACATCATAACAGAAAAGGGAAAGGGATGGTTCTAGATATTAAAAATGGAAGAGCTGTGGCAGTGCAGCGCAGGGTCCTTAGTTGGAACTTGGACAAAAAGAAATTATAAAATCATTATTGGCACAATTGGGAAAATTTGAATATAGTTTATACATTATTCAATAATATTATTTAATATCAAGTCTCTTGGGGTTGTAATAGGTAGTTAGTAGTATTATGATTATATACAATGTTTTCTTGGGGTATACATGATAAAGGATTTGGGGATGTCATGATGTCTGAAATTTACCTACCAATGGTTCAGCAAATAAGAAAAAATTCTTCTTATATAGAGGGGTAGGGATGGGGGAGAGAGAGAGACAGAGAATATGAATGGAACTCTGGCCAAATATGAACAATTGGTGAGTTATAGGTTAAGCATATGCGATATTCATTATTCTATCCTCTCACATTTTCTGTAGATTTTAAAGAAAAAATGATTAATTGCACTATATGATGGAATTTGTAAAATTAATACAGATATATCTGACTAATGGAGAAACCCTTTTGGAAAGTAATTTGACTTTCCCTATCTGGATCGTGAAATTGTATATACTTGGTGATTCTATTTCTGGGGATTTTAAAACAAGAAGAAAGCCTTGGTCACAAATATGTTCACCATAAGCCAAATGTCGGGCAGTAAAAAGATGATAAATAAAGGGTGCCAGTTCCAGTAATTAGAATCATAAATGTACAAGCAACATAGAACACTTGGGCTAAACCAACAGGAGGGGGCAGTAGTGAATAGCAGTGAACAGTGCTCCTGGAGTCCCACCTGGATTTTCACCTGTGTGGCACCTCTTGGCTGAGTGATTTGGGACAAGCTACAGAACTGTTCAGATGCTTGGGTTTTGAACTTGTGAAATGGGGATAACAAACTTCATAGGATTGCTATGCGGATTCGCTGTCTTTAAAGTCCTTACTGTAAAATCCCTGGATGTAGTATGTGCTTAAGAAACATTAGCCATCATCATTATTACTGCTATCAGTTCTGACTGTGAGGTGGAGGTAGGAACTGAGTTGGGCTTTGACAAATACAACTGAGAATTTGAGGGAGGGTATTTCTGGCAGGGAGAACAATAAGGAAGAATGTGTGGGCTCAGATATGCATAAGAAATAGGGAGCAGTCTGGGCTGGCTGAAGTACACAGTCACAGTACTCTCTCTGTGGGAGATTGCAGTGAGTCAAGTGGTTTCTGGACTCAGCTGAGGCAGCCATTGGGAGGTGCCAGAGCTAGAGTGAGGCATAGGCTTGACTCCACAGCCAGTTGGGGGGGACATGCAGGGACCCCCCCCCCCAGGCTGGAGCAGGTGGTGAGGATCTGGCTGTGCTTCAGGAAGACAGACCTGGCAATAGGAAGGCATATGGTCATCCCTGTCCAGTGACACACAGGGCAGCTGCATGGACACAACCGCAGGATCTTTGCAGTGGTCCTGTGTTTAGGGACAGGAAGGGTGGACTTGGTGGCTTCTCAGCTTTCCTTCAGCCTCTCTTTCACCTGCTAGTTTAGCTTTGGTTTGTAATTGCTTCCCCTTCCCTGCAGATGGCTCTGAGGCGCTGGAACTGAAGCCCCTCTTCTTGCCCCAGCGTTCTCCTCTGAAACAGGCATTCCTGCCGCTCTGCCCTAGATCTAATACAGAAAGCGTCTCTGTGTGATCTGACGGACAAGCAAAGACATCTCAGACCAAAAATAGCCTCCTTTTCTGCTCACAGCAGCCTGAGAGTCCATTGAAAGTTTCTGGGAAAATGCAAATATTTCCTGCGGTGGGGGAGGGGGAGGCAATAAAATGGACCAATTTAATCAGCTCCCTAGTTGAGAATTTCCAAGGGGCTGGGATCCAGAGAGATAAATTTCATTGTTGGGTTGGGAGAGGGAGGGGCAAAGGCCAGTAGGAGGATTCTCAGCTGGGGACACTGACCCTAGAACCTGGGAGGCTCCCGTGCCATGCACATGCCCTGTCCCTGCAGCTGCCCCCTGCCTATTACAGGGCTCTGTGGTCCCTCTCCCCAACCCACCTGCCATCACGGTGAACTTCTGCCTCCAAAGAAGTGCCATAAGCCTGTCTGGCGGGGCCAAGGAACTGCCCGTGGCTAGCAGGGAGGGGAGCTGAAAGGCCACGGGAACCCTGACCACAGAGGGGGATTGTTCTGCGTTTGCCCCCAGGAACAGCTCTCAGCCCCTGCTGCACGTTAGAACATGCTGGGGGATTTGTGCCTTCCTTCTGTTGATTACTTCAGTAAGTGTTTACACACACAGCTGTGCGACTTGGAGCATGTCTCTTTAACATTTCTGAGCTTCAGCTTCCTCACCTGTAAACTGAGGCTACCTGAGTTGTTATGAGGAGTAAGGAATGAAGGAAACCCTCGAGAGTGTTCAAGTTTTCTCCACATGAATCTTTAGTGGGTTTATTCTTAGATTCTTAATTTTTTCCCTCTGCTACAAATGAAAAATTTTAAATAATTTTGATTTCATAACTGCTATTGGTATATGCAAATACAAATTATTTTTGGTGTGGCTTTTTATCAGTTACCTTATAAGCTCATTTTTTTTTTTTTAAATTTCAGCAATATGACTGATTCTGTGCCCAGTCATTCTACCTGGGAGTGGTGATTCCTGTTCCTTGTTTTCTAATCCTCAAACCTTTGTTTTCTTCCTGCCTGACCTGGCTAGAATATCTGATAATAGTGTCTGAGGGGACTCTCTTGTTCCCAGGCTGAGGATACACTTAAATATGCCACCGTTAAGTGGCATATTTTCTTGTTTGTTTGCAATTTTTACCAAAGTAAGAAATTTCCTTTTTCATCCTAACTTATTTAGAATACGTACAGGTGTGGGCTTTGATCACATGGTCTTTCTGTAGCCATTGAGATGATCACAATTTTCTTCCTTCAGTAGGAATGCCAGTTACTATTGGTGATTTTCAATTGTCAAAAATCATTCTTGAATTTCAAAAATCAAACATGGCCATGATGTCTTCTTCTCCTTCTTTCTTCTTGGTCCTAGGGATTGAACCCAGGGATGCACTATCACTGAGGTACGTCCCCAGCCCTTTTTATTTTGAGACAGGGTCCACAAGTTACCAGGCTGGCCTTGAATTTGCAATCCTCCTGCCTCAGCCTCCCGAGGAGCTGGGATTCTATGGGAGCGTGCCACCATTCCTGGCTATGGTATTTTATTATTCTTACACGTGGATGGGTGATTTGGGAATATTTTATTTAGGATTCTGCTTCTGTGTACATGTTCTGAGACTGGCCAGTGATTTTCTTCTCTGGATTATGCTTCTGAAGTCACTTTCAAGGTTATGCTTGTCTCATAAACCAGCTAAAGAGACCATGTTTCTCTGTTCCTCTGGAGAGGATTGTGTATTGTTGACATAATTCCCCTGCAAATGGGAGGAAGAAAGTCCCCATGCCACCTCCAGGCCTGCGGCTTCTTTTACAGAAAGATGTTTCATGATGGAAGCAATTTTTTTTCATTGGTATAGAACTGCTCTGGTTTTCTCTCTCGATGGTTCTGTTTAAAGGTGTCTTTTTTTTTTTTGCCTGTTTCCTCATCAGGAACTTTATTCAAATATGTATGCGTTGGGAGAAAGGGGTCATAAAGAGGCCGTGAGGGCAAAGGAGGAAATATAAGGGATAACTTTTTTAAAGAATAGTAATGCAGATTGCCTGAATACCTCATCAAGTCTAAGTGGGCCACACGCTTTTCATTCTGAAAACTAAGCAAGAGGTAAGAGTAAATTAAAGTTTTCACCGTAAAGAAATGGTAACGATTTGAGGGCTGGGGTTGTGGCTCAGCAGTAGAGCACTCATCCAGCATGTGTGGGGCCGTGGGTGGATCCTCAGCACCACATAGAAATAAAGTAAAGGTATTGTGTCCAACTACAACTAAAAAACAAAAAGAAAGAAATGGTAACGATTTGAAGGCACAGATATGTTTCACATTACCTAAAGTATGGATGTATCAAAACATTCCATGTTACCACATTAATATAACAATTTTTATGTTTTTTAAAAGTGTATTCTTGTGGGAGCTTAATATTCTAACTAAATTTTCAGATTTTTGGCAAAAAGTTGCCTGTATCATCTTATCTTCCTCTTGTCTGTGGTACTGAAGTCATGCACCCTTTCCATTCCTGAAGCAGATTTGTGCTTTATTTTCTTTCTAAGTTGCTGAGGCTGATCTCGAACTTGCCACCCTCCTGCCTCAGCCTCCTCAGGTGCTGGGATTACAGACATGCGCCATGGAGCCTGGCTGTGCTCTCTCTTCCCCTTGACAAATTTCACCACAGCCCAATCAGTTATTGGTTGTGGTAATGACATTTTGGGTGGTGCTGACTCCATCTTTTGCAGTATGCTATCTCATTATTTTCTGCTGTCTCTTTCTCCCCACTCACTCCGGCGTGGACTTGCTCTGCTGTTCAGTTGGCAGCTTCTAAGTTCCCAGCCATCACGAGCTCACCTGTGCCCAAGTACTTGGCTTTATGCTACAAGTTTGGATACATGGCATTTCCTTACAGTTCTAGATGCTTCTAGCTTTCATTATGATGTCTTCATTGATGTGATATTTTAGCAGTATAATTCCGATTTTTTGAATATACAGAATTTCTGGTTACATTTTGCTGCTTGATTCTAGCTTAAAAGATAAGGCATGGTCAGTCAGAGAACATACTCATATGATCTCAATACTTTTACATTTGTTTAAACTGCTTGGTCCTTTTTTTTTTTTTTCTTTTTTAATGTTTGGCATCTGCTTGTAAAGAACTTGTGTTCAGTAGTCCTACGGTGCAGTGTTCTGTGTCCCCTGATCAGGCTGATTCTGTTAATTGGCTTGTTCAGATCTTGTGTATCCTTCCTGATCTGTCTTATCAACCTTTGAGGAAATATCCCAGATGATGGTCAATTTGGAGCTTTCTACTATTAGTCCTTTAAAGTAGCGCAGGGAAAAATGGAATGAATGAGAACTGCCCCCACTGCTGACCCACAGCAACACTGTCAATCCAAACTTGACAGGAAAGAGGAAAAGAATGAGGAGGAGGAGAGAAAATCCCAAATAAATGACAACATCAAAAATAAAACCCTTGAACATGTGGGGTAAATACAGGGCACACACTACGATGCTACATTCAATCCTAAGTATTATCTGTAATTGTTACATTTAAATGGGTTAAGGGGTCCCAGAATAAAATTTAAGATGGATTATGGGATAAAATCCACATGTAGATGGTTGATAGGAGGCACATTTAACACATGCAGATGTGAGGTCAAGAGCAATCTGGCGGGGCTGGGGTTGTGGCTCAGGGGTAGAGCACTTGCCTATCGTGTGTAAGGCCCTGGGTTCGATTCTCAGCACCGCATATAAATAAATAAAATAAAGCTTCATCAATATCTAAAAAAGTATTAATAAACCCAAGAGCAATCTGGCTACCAGTGCATGAGGCCCCTTTAGGAGGGAGCAGTGAACCGCATGGTGTTGACAGGCAGTGAACTGTGGTCCCTGTACTCTCTCCCCCAATTCCACTGGACACTTAGGGGTGGCTTGGGTGGGGACATGGGAAAACTACTCACATCTGAGTGGGACCTTCCCACTTTCCTGCCTCATGAGGGCTTGGGCTGGCAGGGGGAGATGGAGTAGGCGGAGGGCCCCTCATGAGCTGGGTGGGGAGGGAGGGAGGACCTGCACTCAGGCCAGCTGGGAGCTGCTTCCCAGGATGGTGGCATGCAGACCTGGAGCCTTCGTTGTCCCCACCTCCAGGCCCCTCAGAAAGGTCCTGTTTTCCTCAAAGTGGCTATATTTCTTTTCCAAAAGAGCCCCTGCACAGCAGCTGGACACAGCACCAAATACTTATATTGTATATAGCCTCTCATCAAATCAGACTCTAGAAGGCTCTTCGGCTAGCAATTGTGGAAGACGCTAGAGACCTGCTTCCTGCAAGATGAACACAGCTGCCTGTCAGGGAACTTCCTACCATTTGACCATTCACATCCCATGGTCCACACTTCTTTGACCACAGTAGTCTGGTGAGCCCTGGACAACCTGGCCTGGGTCAGTCCTGACTCTCCTGTCAGGGGCAGGCTCAGGCAGGAGGAGGTGGCGCACCGAGGAGGAAGGGCCAAGTGCTGGGCACAATGAGAATGCTCTTTCCAGCTCTACCGTCAGCAGCTGCGACCCTGAGCAAGTATTTCATGTGCCAAACTGTCCCTTTGCCCCTGTGGCATAGGGCTCATGTGCTGCCTGTCTGTAAAGCCCAGGGAACAAAACCTACCTTGATGTCCCACTCAAAGTGGGACCCTTCCCACTGCCCCTGCTTAGAAGGGAGAGAAGAAAGGAGAGGGCGTGTTTCAGCAGATGACAGAATTCCCTCCCTCCAGGCAAGGCCACCCACGTGGGACACCTCTCCAGCCAGTCTGCATCCTACCCCTGCCTGTTGGTGCTGAAAGGTGCCCAGTGCTACTCTGGAACAGGAGCTGAGGACTTTCCCCGTCCGTCCTGTCAGCACAGCTGGGGAGAGGCCACTTCTTCCAGTCAACATCCTGCCTACACAATCTGACGCATGCTGACTTCCACGCCATCAGCTTGGCACTTGCTCTGGTCCTGTAAGTACCTTAAATGCCCCTTTGTGGTGGTCTCTGCCCCGGGCTGCTCTGCTGACACACCACTGGCAGCCAGCAGCAAGGAGGGGTGAGCCCCACACAGGACCTGGAGGGGCATCAGGTCACAGCTGTCTCCAGTGGCCCACGCCTTAGGGATACACTGGGCAAAGCAGCTTGCGTGGTCATTGTGGACAGAGGTCCCTTGTGGCCTTGGGCTTTAGCAGGGGCACCCAGGGTCCCTAGGGCCCTGTGTGCATCGGCACAGTTCCTGGACGTTCTTCAGATTAAATGAGGATGTGGGTGGAGCCCTGGCTCTGGAGATGAGGTGAGCAGCACTGGAGCACTGTCCAGTGTCCATGACAGGGCCACAGGCTGGTCTGTCCCACCCAGCAGGGCGGGAGCCTGCTTAGTGACAGTGGTCATGTCACTGGTGTCCAACACAAATCCAAGACTGACCCCATTCCCTTGTGTGTTATGGGCGGGTGTCCCAGCCTGTGCCCAGGACCTCAGGCCTTACTTAAAAAGGGGGTCTTTATAGAAGTGGGCAGGCCTCCCCAACACAGCTGGCACCCTGACACAAAGCAGGTACCTGGAGACAGAGATGCACAAGACACTGCAGATACAAAGATGGCACCTCTCTGTGCCTGTGCACAGAGTCCGGTACAGACCTGCCCTCGTGGCCAGCAGAAAGAACCAACCCTGAGGATCCTGAGCTCAGGCTTCGGGCGTGCAACGCCAGCCTGTGCACTTGTTGGGCAGCCTCAGGCTAGCCCCTTGGGAGCAGCACTGTAAGGTGCCTTGGCATCTCCAGTGGTGCGTGTATGTGGGACACTGAGCTGCATTGTCCCCACTGTACTGGGGGCCCAGTCCAGCCAACCATGCCCCAGTGTGGGCCCCCACCAAGTGCCTTCCTATAGGAGCCAAGGGCCCTTCCTCAGCAGCTAACGTCCTTTAGAACCCACACTGGTCATCCAGCTTAGACCGCAGGGCAGAGTTCTCTCAAAACCACATGTGCCAGCATTTACTCCGGGAAAGCAAGGGCCCAGCCCTCTGCTGGGCTCCAAGATCAGGAGGGGCGGTGGCCAGGGAAAGGGCCTCATGGTCACGATACACGGCTCTGTGTGCGCGCACACCACCGCCTGAGTGTGGATGGTCCTCGTGAGGACAGGAGGGAGCAGCATCTGACTGAACCTGAGCCAAGACACCAGAGGCATAGTGAGGAGTGCACCCCACAGCAGCCTCCTGAGCAGACGCCACTGAGCTGGCACAACCAGGGCAAAGGGCGGGCGTCTGGCAAGGGGACGCCAGCAGCCAGGGGAGGAAGGCCCACCCTGGTAGAGGGCAGCCTGGGGCTGGCAAGGGGCACCCGGGGTGCCCTGCGTCCTCAGACAGCTGAGCTGCTGAGGGGCCTCACCGTGGGCTCCTGTGTTCACCACCCCAGAGGGTCCCCAGGAGGGCTCTCCCACAGGCTGCGAAGATCCTTGCCTGGTTTGGACCCTGACTGGTGCTGCCCCTGCAGGCAGCGGCTCCATGTCTGCACTTGTTGCAAGAGACATCAGGGGGGTAAGGCAGCAGGCACAAAAGTGGGGAGAGGGCCTTGGCACCCAGGATGTCCAAGAAGGGGGTGCCCAGTCAGCACAGTGTGGCAGTTGGGTGCCATGGAGGGGGGCTGCTGGGATGGGCTGGGTCTGGGTCTGGAAGGTTCTGCTGGGGGAGCATCAGGGGGCACCAGGTGGACCCTCCCTCTGGGGAGTCCCAGGGGGTCACCTGTCCGGCAGCCTTCTGCTTGGACCCGCAGGATCTTTGGTTTAGGTCTGGCAGGGCCCTTTTGCCTCCAGTAGGGCATGTGTCTGTGACCCAGTCCATTGGCCCAGCGAGGCCCCCGGGGGAGTGACCAGGGCCAGGAAGCCTGGCGCTTTGGCCCAGGACCCTGGTGGCGCCTCCCCAGCCGATCCACTTGGGTCCTCATTGTGGCTACTTCCTGAGCCAGTCCTGCCAGGGCTGTGGCCAGCTGGTCCAGCTTCTCTGTGAGCGCAGCACCAAGACTGTGCAGCTCCTGTTGCAGGGGCCTCCCGCAGGGGCATGGTGGCTGCGGGGAGGCAGCTGGCCACAACGGTGAGTCAGCTGCCGGAGGGGGACACTTGCTGGGTGGCTCAGGTGGGTCCCTGGGGAGCTGCCTCCTTTGGGTCCTGGCTAAAACCAGAGGGAGGACAAGGTTAGAGTTTCTGTGCTGTAAGGAGCTTTCGCCCCCCAGTTCCCTTGCACTAGTGTTCAGTGTCCTGCCTGCTCTAAGCCTGGCTTCTAGAGTGAAGGAAGTTGCCTCGGGCTGGAGAACACGGGTACTACGCCTCATTACAGCCAAATTGCCATCCTCTGCCATTTCCCACCCTGATGGGTAGGACCAGCCAGACACGGGTTCCATGGTGACCAGCTTTCTCAGGACAGTGGTCTTTCAACTTCTGGGAAAAAAAAATTGGTGGGTTCCACCACTAGAGCCAAATGTTCCACCTACCCCTGCCCTGGGGGGTCAGTGAGAAGGGCCCAGAGAAGGCCCCAATGGCACAAGGCTAGGGTTGAGGGTGAGCACCCAGGAGATGGGCCAGGAGTCCAGCTGAGAACCATTAGGATATTTCCAATGGGGTCACTCAATACCCAGTGCCCTTGGAGACAAACGCCCCTCCTGTCTTTCTTCCCCTCACTCAAAAGTTATAGATTGAGAGATTTTGATGTCTTAAATTATTTTAAAAAATAATCTAGCAGGTGCAGTGTGTACACCTATAATCCCCAGCAGCTCAGGAGGCTGAGACAGGGGATCTCAGGTTCAAAGCCAACCTCAGCAACTTAGCAAGGCTAACCTTGTCTCTAAATAGAATATAAAAAAGGCCTGAGGGTGTTGCTCAGTGGTAAAGCACCCCTGAGCTTAATCCCCTAGTATCCCTCCACAAAAGAAAATTCATCTAATCCTTTACCCCCAATTCCCCTGGAGCTGGGCTCTCCCAAGGTGAGCCTTGCAGGCAGCCCTAGGCCAGACCCTGCCATTTCTTAAGGCACTTGGTCGACTGGGTGGAGGGAACTGCTACCCCTGTTCCTGTGCCCCAGCCAAGGCTCTGCCCTTCTCTTGTCAGCACCCCCAGAACTGCAGGTGGAGCAGAGTGATGGCTTGAGTGGTCCAAGGCCCCAAGGCCCCAAGTCCTGTCTGGTCTAGTTCTTTAGTTGAAGCAAGAACGTGGCCCTGCCCTGAGGGAGGGCAGGGGCCACCCCAGAGTGCACCCCCACTCCAGGCCACACTCCCAAGTCCCTGGTATTAGGCTGCCCCAACGTGACCCAGGGCACAGGTGACTTGACCTCCTGCCTGTCTCACTGTGGCTCCTCAGAAGTGTGACTTGGAACCAAAGATTTTGGGATGACCCTGGCCAGGTCACTCAACAGTGCTGGTCACTGTTTCCTCACCTATTCTCTGAAGTCCCCTCAAACCCCAAATTTTGATTCAGGACAATTTCTTCACTGCACGAGGTCTTGGGAAACCCCCCGAGTTCCTGTAACGAGACACTGAAGCGAAATGGGCACCAGGAGTGGCTTATAGGTCAGACTTTCCCTGCCCACAACCTGCACAACAAACTTGGGAGGGTGTTTTCTTCTTGGAACTGGAGGCTGGGGTCCTGGCCAGTGCAGAGGGGACAGGGAAGCCACCAAGCTCACCTGCAACACTGTGCCTTCCACATCTAGGCTCTAGGCTTCTGGGTTCTTCACCTCCCCCGGACCCGGGCCTTTCTTCCAGCTGAGGGGCAGACCAGGGATGCCCTGCTGCCTCTGTGGAAAGAGCACAGGGCACTTGGGACAGGGACACATGTAATTTTACCAGAGCCACTCTGACATGAGGATGTTAAAATGTGGAAAAAAAAAAATCGAGCTTTCCACTTTTAAACAAGGATTAAATGAGATGCAAGTTGGACACTGGGCCCACCAGGAACCCTGGCTCTGGTGAAATGGGCACATGAGTGAAGGCCCTGGTGTGCAGCCCCTGCCCTGTTCCCAGCAGGAGGGCTGTGCTGGAGTGTCTCAGTGTCCTCTGCAGCTCCCGCCTTATGCTCAGGGATCCATTAGGTAGGTCCTGCCCCCAGCAAGATACCCCAAGGATATGCTGGGGGCATCCCCTGGACCACAAGAAGTCATTCTGACATCTTTTCAGGGCCATGGAGCAATGAGGAATGTGGTGTGCAGGGGCGTAAGGCAGAGGCCGAGGCCTGTGGACGGAGCAGCTCCGGCCCCTGACTAACTCCCTGACCCTACCTCCTCCTCCTGCGACACTGCTGAGAGGGATGGGTAGGCAGGCACTCTCTGCAGCCTCTTCTCTCCTGGGTGACCGGGACTTGCCTCCTGTCCCTTCTGCTTTTCCTGCTGGGAGCAAACACTGGGTCACAAACCTGGATGGTAGAGTGGTGGCTGGGGACAGCAGGTGGCATTTCTAACTTTCTTGACAGGACAACCTCCAAGAATTTTTGCTTTTGATGTTTTTTTTGTTGACTGCCAAGATTTCAAAAAGTTACATGACGACAATGTTATCATTTTATACACACACTCACACCTATTGTGCACATATAGTATTAAGTATGTGTCATCGAGTGGCTTGCCAAGAATCCTGCCTCCAGTCATGTGCAAGCCCTGCTCTGGGTACCCTGCTCAAGGTCCCCATCTTCTTCCGCCTCAGCTTCCCTTACAGGCTCAAACATAGAGGACTTTCTGTCCCCAGGCAGAGTAACAAGGGAGCTTGGAGAACTCAGTCTGGACCCCGGCCCTGTGGGGACATGTGGATGCATGCGGGGACTCAGGCTCACCTGCACCAAGGCCACTGCGGTCCTCAAGCTCTCTTCTTTCATGCCCGTCACGAGGGCTGCTGCCACTGTTGCCTCCGGGGGACCTACCAGGTCCAGGGGACAGAGGAACTGGATGCTTGCAGCTGCGAAGGTGCTCTATCTCTGTCACAAACAAAGCTGGCATCAGGGCACTGACCAGTATCCTGGAGAGCAGCTCATGGTCACCCCACCCTGTGCCCCAGCAGACTCACCCTGAAGGGGTGGCCGCCAGGGCTCGGGTTCCATCCGCGCATCTTCATCAGAGCTGCTGAGGCTTGAGCTGGCGCCAGGGCTGGGGCTGGGGCCGGGGCCAGGGCCAGGGCCCGGGCCCACCAAGCAGGCGAAGCGCAAGGGCCTCACAGGCAAGATCCCCCTCAGAGAGGTCTCTAGACAGTGCAGTGGGGAGGGCCTGGGGGCTGCCCCTATGCAGACGACAAGAGAGCCAGCTGGCTGTCACCTGATGGCAGTAGGAGTTTGCCCTGAGGACCAGGTTCACAGACCAGGTCCCTCATGGTTCAGTCCCAGCTCACGTGGGGTCTGAACAACTCTCTCTTTGGCTATGGGACATGGAGAAATCAAAGCCTGGTCAAGTCCCTGGCTGCTCTGGAAGGCCAGTTGGGGAACTTTCCACAAGTGTCAAGTCCCTAGAAGCCACTGTGGTCAGGTTCTTGCCAAGCCCCGGGTCTACGAGTCCTGCAGCCTCTCGCAGTCTGCGTCCCTCTACCCTGCACCACAGAGCCCAGCAGCTGGGCAAGGGCAGGAGGGTAAGAAAAGCCACAGGACCTGCTGAGCCATCCTCCTGCCCCTGCAGACCTGCAGCAAGCTGCCAGAAGGATCTATCTGGACATAGCAGGTGGAAGGGGGCTCTTGCCCCCCAGAGTCTCCACTGGAGAAACCAATGGCTGCACAGAACAATGGTCTTCCCACCCTGATCTCAGCACTGGGTCACTTTATCTTTTTCTTTCACCAATTCCAGTTTCTGCTTGGCTCTTGCTTCTATCTTCTGGGGAAGGGATGAGAGAGAAGGCAGGAGGAAAAACATGCCAGTAACACTGGAGGCAGCTCACCATCTTGCAGCCATTTCCACGGCTCCGGCCTGATGGTCCCCTGTTCTTTGAACCCTTGGTGGCAGGTGCGGATGCAGCTGGAGGTGAAGGCCTGTGGGCTGGTCAGATGCAGGCTCCCGGCAGGCACTTCTCCACCCTGTCTGAGGCAGGATGACTCAGAGGCCTCACCCCTCAGTCCTGTTTTAATGAGAAGCCAAAATGGCTGTGAGCCCTGTGGGGCCTTGTGCTACCACAGAAGCATAGACAGAGAATTCCGCCCACAGGGGTTTTCAGGCACACAAATTTAAGGAATCACCCACTCTGCCTGTCTCAGATGGGGTGGGGAAGTGGTGCCCACTAGAGCCTGTTCAGATCCTCCATTCTTTATTCAGGGACCCAGCTCTAAGGACTCCTGGGAGCCCTCAGATGCCACGTGGGGCTCGCTTGCCAGGATGAAGATGCTCAGTGGACAGGGTTCCTGCTCAGGCCTGTGTGGTGCAGCAGTGGATAATGGCCAGGGTGTCCGTGTCCTGGACTCTGCCCACACTCATTCAATAGTGAGACTGTATGTGTGCTCAACAGACCACCTGGCTTTCTGGCCTCAGAACAAGCCTCTGTCCTGGCTGTTTCCGGAGTATCTTCTTGGCTCAAGTGGATCTGGCCCAAGACAGTTGGGGGCAGCCATGCCCAGGCCAATGGTACAGAAGCTGTCCAGCCCCACTCCCAGGTACCAGGGCCACCACGGAGTTACCTTCCTTGTATGCCATCCAATTCTTAGGTTCCACTCTCCTGGGCTCCCTGTCTGCTGCTGAGAAGCAAGCCCGGGCAGGCTGCTGCCTGGGTACCGGCAGCTCTTTGAGACAGTTCTCCAGCCCCTGGAGTGGGGAGCTTCCTGGCAGGCATCCTGTGAAGATCCAACATTGGCCCTCTTGGGTGACTGGAGCCTTGCCTCTTCTGCAGCGTCCAGGGCTAGGGGCCCTCAGAAGAGGCACAGAGCTTTGGACGTGTTGAGGTAGTTCAGGGCCCTGGATGGAGACCTGGCCCCAAATATCTATCAGCCCTGGTTTGGGGTGGCCCTGTCCAGGCTGCCTTATAAGTAAGAAGCCTGACCTGTCTCCTTGGCCACCTTCACAGAAGCCTACCCAGGGTGAGGAAGGAAATAATGGGGAGCCTGGCCATAGGTATGGGTCTAGGCTCCCTCAGTGCACCCAGTTGCCACCATGGTGAGGGATGGCAACACACCAGGTGGCCCTAAGGACTGTGAGTAAGGCTTCCTTTATTACTCAAAGGAAGGCAACCCTGCAGGCTTCCTGTCCTCTGCATATGACAGGCCACAGGCCACTTGAAAAAACAAATACATTGTAAAAATTGTATCCTAGTGATGGAGTTGTGCCAGCAACGGGAAGGAGCTGAGCTGGAATTCTAGAGGGAAGACCCCTTTCCAGGCAAGCAGACAGCACTGTCCACATTCCTCCCTGAGGGACATGTGCTGATAATTCTGGGCCCAGGAGAAGTTTAGAACCAAAGCCACATGCATGTGGAGGGCAGAGTATGAGCTACCACATGGTGTTTGCTGGTTCTGGGGGCTGCGCCAGAAGCTCCTGAAGGGCAGCGTGAAGGCCCCTCCATTTGGGTTACTTAGAACCCATGTCTAAGTAACCTATGTCTACCTGCAGAGGGCACATGAAAAAGAAGTGCACCCCAGGACACTCTGCCCTGACACAAGATGAAGTGGTTTTGGTGGCCAAGGGTTAGCTGGACAGAATGCAGAAACATGCCAATGGCAGGTGTTCAGATGAAAGGCAAGGTGGGGACCTTCCTGGAATGCCACTGTCCACATGAGGAGACAGAAGCTGGTCATGGCAGGTGTCTCTGGAGGGTGGTCAGATTCAGTGGTGGTTGTGGGAGGCGCAATGGGGACTGTGGGGCGGGGAAAGAGAGAGACCTTACTTTTCCCATATAACTTTATGTAGCTTTTGAACAAAAACATTTGATTTTATTACTCATTAGTAACTGAAAATTAAGCCAAGTCAGCTGCGTTTCAGGCAAAAAGCCCCACACCCAAGGGGTTCCTCCAGGGGACTCAGGCACTGAGAAGAAGGCCTGCATGGCCCAGCCAGAGTCCAGGCTGTAGTTCTAGGCCTTTCTATTAACTAGAGATGGAGCCAGGACACAGATACAAGTAGGTACCCAGTGTGCACCCATGGGACACGGCCAGGCCAAGAGTACTTGGATTATTCAGGTGGGGAAGAGGCTAAAGGGATGCTCAGAAGCACTGGAAGACCCCAATGTCCCCAAGTCCCCAGAAATGAGTCTCCCAGAGAGACCCAGGGAGGCACAGGTCCCCAAGCACACCTCTGAAGCTGGTTTATTCAAAGCACACTATACTTTCCCCTAAGCTGGAGGCCAGCCTCGCATATCTTTGTGGCTGGGACAATGAAGAGTTTAACTCAATAGGAAAATTGAATATACTACCTGTATTTCCGGACCAAGTCACTAAAATGGACCCCTGCTCCCACCCTGTCCAAGACAAGTCCATTCCTGCCTCAATGTCCCCATCTCTGCCCTGGCACGGGGCTGATGACCTGGCTGGGCCAGAGACTTTGATGGACAGGGGCCTTGAATGACATCTTGTCCCAGAGGGTTGGTAGCTCACCTTTTCCAGGCCGCTGTCCCTGGCTCCCCCCAGGACTCCCAAATTCCAGGTCCCCATCGGTGCTGCAGGCTGAGGAAAAGCTGGTGGGGGTGCCTCGGGGGCCTGAGGGCTGAGCCAGACTCTCTCTCACATAGCCCTGCAGGCCCAGAGGCAGAGGTGGCTCCTTGGTGGCCTCTGCGGGAAACAGCATTTTTCAGGTCACAGCAGAGCCTGCTGGAGAAGAGGCCCCTGGGCCATGGAGTAGATGGCACCAGGAGACCCTGCCTTGAGGTGTGTCTCTCCAGGGTTTCCCAAGGCACAGATGCAAATCCCAAAACCCCACATTTCACCTCCTAAAACTAAAAAAAAGTTCTCCAAGAAGAGGGCAAGAAGACTTGTAACTGCTGCTACCGAAGCTGGAGAGCTGCCTGGGGCCAGGCCCGAAAGAGGGCAGTGGGAAGAAGGCACATGCTTCAGGAAGCTGGAGAGGACAAGCTAACAGTGGCCTCGGTGTCTCTCTCCACCGTGTGCATGGTGACAGGCTAACCCAGGCCCACTACACAGTCTACCTTCACTGTGTGATCCTTGAGACTGCAGCTCTGACCGCTGGGACACAGAGGTGGCCAGTGTCCGGAGTGGTGATGACCCACCTGGGGGAATGCCTTTCAGGCAGGCCTCCAGAGCTGCCAGTGGTGAGCTTGAGGCCCTGCTGGCTGGGAAAGGAGAGAACACTGTCATCGTCTCTCACAGGTCCTTGCCCTGCCTGTCGGGCCCTGGCTTGGTCCCTGGCTGGCTGCCCCTGGCCTGCCTCTTACAGGGCTGATGAGTCTTACACCAGACTCTGGGACCTGCCCGGCAGCAGACCCTCCTGGAGGGTACTTCGATCCTCTCTCTGCTTCTCTGGAGGGAATGAAGGTGTCCCTGGCCTTGAGGACAGAGATAGGGAAAACCACCTGCCTGCAGGGGCCATCTTCCTCAGGCAGGACCTCAGGGCACAATGAAGGTCCTTACTGAGCCAGAGGGCTGCCGGGGCAAGGCCTGGGTTGAGGACATGGACTGAGGTCACTGTTTGGAAGGAAGCCCAGGGACAAGTTCCCTGCCCGAGGGACATGCAGGTTTCCTGGGCTTTGGAAGCTTCTCTGAGCCCAGTCCCATGGAGACAAGGTAAGACAATCCCAGGCCTTACCTTGAGCTGTGGGGCCCCAGCAGTGTGTTCCGATCCCTTTGGTGTCTCTGGTAGCAGAGAGGCCATGGCCCTGCCTACCAAGCTGGCAGGATACAGGCTCCAAGTGGCTCTGGGACCAGCTGTCCTCTACCTTGACCACAGTGAATGAGCTGCCAGCTTCAGTACCAGGGCAGGAAGGAGGGGTCTGGAGGTGTCTGGACCCTGTGTGAAGCAGGTCACCAGTCAGCCCAGGTTTCAGGACTGGACTCACCCCAGGTTTTGTGAGGTGAGGTGGGGCTTCTACGGCCCCTCTGCATCCACAGCAGTCACTGTGCCTGGGTACAGTCACTTCTCAATCACCAGCACAGACCCAAGTCACATTCCTACTTCCATCAAAGTCCCTTTTGGTTGCTCTAAAGTTTTCTAAAGAAGGATTAAGTCAGCTCTGCCCAGTTAGCACCAAATCAGATCTTTCTCCTTGGCCAGACAAACCACCCAGTCTAAACACACCTGATGGGTACCCCAAGCCCCAGTCCTACTACCAGACCAGACAATCTGAGGCCAGCCCAAATCCCAGTCATACCACCTATTGCCAGGAACCCCAAATCACAATTATGGCTTGAGAGTCTACTGGGCTACAACTCCAGCTTCTATGTTTTGGCTTTCCGCCCCACCATCCCTTCCTTCCTTCCAAACGTTTACTTCGTTCTATGAAAGCCAGTCTGGGAAATGATCAAGAACTGATTAGGCACCTCCTCTGTGCCTTGCTCCATTTGCAGAGTGATGGTGCTCAGTATCAGGCCCTCTGCCTGAGGCCTGTGTGCTTTGTTGCAGAAGGTTACCCACTGCTCTGCTTGTGGCAGCCCCTTCCCTCCCCAGCTCAGCAGGTGGCCTTTACCTTCAGAATTCTTATTCAAGGTCCCTGGATCCTCTTGTAGCAGCAGGTCCCCTGCTCCTGAGGGGTTGGGACACCTGTCCTGGGCCTCTGGGATCTCCTTCAGACAGTTCAGCAGACCCTGGAGAGGAGGATCCCCCGAAGGTGACTCAGTCTTCACTAAGGAAAAAGGCACACATGTCCACCAGAGCCCAGAGTCCAGTCCTCGCACCAGACAGGAACCATCCAGTGTGCAGTGAGGATGCAGGGCCAGAAATCTGCAGACGTGAGTCAGGTCTTCCCATGCCTCATTTAGTCTTGTTTAAGTCACTGTCATTTTGGTGCCCAATTTACAAATGCCTATCAACCATCCCTCCCAGAACAGGACGGGTGAGAACGGAGAGGCACTCAGAGGCAGAGTGAAGGAGGCGGGGCACTGGACAGTGCCCTGGTCCCAGGTGCAGCCGACTTTGAAGGGGCTGTGACACACACAGTGCGTGTAAGAGGCACACTGCTGGAGTTAACCCCGCCCGGACCCCGTGGAGTGAACCAAGGACCAAAGCTGCAGCAGCCTTTAAAACAGATTCTATTGTCATGTATAACTAAAAAGAACCAAAAAATTAAAAAAGAAAAAGAAAACTTAACAAAAAAATAAAATAACATGCAGGCAGTATTTAAAGAGAAAAAATAAAAAACATAATAAAGTGTCACTGCAGCCCGGAGCTCCTGCCCCCCTGGCTGTCCAGATCGGGGCCCCCCTGGCTGTCCAGATCGGGGCCACTCTGAGCACCTCACCGAGTGTCAACAGGAAGTAACACTTGAGCGCTGTGGCTCTTCTCCTGAGGCCCAGGTTAGGAAAAGTGAAGAACAAAGAGCAACCAGGGCAGCATGCGTGCTTCTGAGTTTTCTTTTTCTATCCTAATGCTTCTTTAAGAGTTACCTGGGGCTGGGGACATGGCTCAGTTGGTAGAATGCTTGCCTTTCGTGCACAAGGTCTTGGGTTCTAATCCCCAGCACCACACACACACACACACACACACACACACACACACACACACACACACCTGGCTTCAGTCACATGACATTGGGAATACAGGAGCAGCCAGGTTAGTAATGATCCTCAAGGGTGACAGTGTGGAACAGAGAAATAGCTACAGAATGGCTTTCCAGGCACTTTGGAGCCCTTGGCCTGAGGGCATCAGATGCCCAAGGACTCACCTGGCCAGGGTGGGCTTGCTGGCCCTGGCTTCACCGTGGTCAACCTTGATGCACCCAGGAGAGGGACAGCAGGTAGTAAGTTTGGTGCTGCCTCAGCATTCTGGGGCCCAGGCACAAGGATTTCTTTCAGGCAGTTGATGAGGCCTTGCAAGGGGCTATTCCCAGGAGAGATTCCTGCACACAGACAAGGTCACTGAGGTCACTGTAGTCCTGACAGGGCAACATAAGACCTTCTACAGTCACGGGATCTCTGGGCAGCTGAGAATCACCCATGTGAACAGACGAGGCCTGCCCACTGAGGCTGCTACAAGACTAAACTGACTATTCCCCTGTAGCCCACTCAGCTCCAGGGCAGGCCTGATCTCATCCCCAGGAGAGCCAGATTCTCACCAGTCCCTGGGGTCCCTCTCTCCTGGGTTTGGTGGCTCTTCCTCTGGCCAGAGCTGCAGCTGGGAGGGCTCAGCTCCTCAGCAGGCGTTCCTGGGCCTCCCCTTCCTGTTGGCCATGGTCTGTCCACAGTTTCTGTTGCAGAAGACAAGGAAGGCCTTTCTAGCCTGGGCTCCACTTTGGGATCACCCAGATCCAGTCACCACGAGGAGAGACCCCTCTAGTTCCTCAACTCCCTGGGGGCAGTCAAGTCCCAGAAGCTTTGGAGGACCTGTTCAACTGTAAACACCAGGACGGTTCACTCTGAACGCGCCTGGACACTTCCTCCAGACCTCAGCCGCTGAACACGGCTCAGCAAGTAATGTCTGCAGCTTCAACACACCGACCCCGATCTCACGCTTGTGCTTTTCAAATCAGGGCACATGGAATGTCGGGGCATGTGGGTGGATGACACCTGAAATCAGAGGCTAAGCAGGCTGTGTTTTGGGGAATGCCAATCTTTTTTTTTTTTTTTAATATTTATTTTTTAGTTGTAGTTGGACACCATACCTTTATTTTCATTCTTTCTTTCTTTTATTTTATTTATTTTTATGTGGTGCTGAGGATCAAACCCAGGACCCTGCACATGCTAGGCGAATGCTTTACTACTGAGCCTCAACCCCAGCCCTGGGAATGCCAATCTTATTCCATATTACTTCAAAATATTCTAATAAAAAGATATTTGCAAGAATTTTTAAAGGTACAATGAGACCCCAGAGAAATTCTAGGCCTTCTCTGAGGTTAGGCTTTGATATGAGACGGTCTGAGAATCAGAAGAGGTGCACACAGGTGAGTTACCTGCTGGGCCCTGTGGCAGAAACTGCCTGTGTACATGCACATGGTCCTCAGCAATAAGGGTTGGATGAGAGGCCTCCTGGGGACCAGGCATTGCGCCCCTCCCATTTGATCTCCTGACCAGAAGCATATTATGCTGCCCTGCTCTCTGGGACCTTCACCCCCACTCAGCAGCAGAGGAGACTAAGTCCCAGAGAAAACAAAGAGGGTGTGGGTTCAAGCTCCCTGACTCCAGGGTTGAGGACCTTGAAGTGCTGATGGTCCCCATCGTTGCTGGATTAGACTCACTGATGAGGAGGGGCCTTCCGGGCCCCCCATCTCCAGGCGGGCCACTGGAGGACGAGCTGCTGGTCGGTGTAGTGGCCAGGCTGGGCTGGCTCACCGGGCTGTCCGGAAGGCAGCTGAGCAGACCTGGGGGAGGGCAAGACTCCTCTTCCACGGTCACTGTTGAGGGGGAGAAGACACTAATGCCAAGGTGCTCCTGCCACTGTCACCACTGGGGTCCTTCCTTGCCATGCTCCACTAACAATGGCCAGGACACCAGGGACCTAGGCCAGGACACCAGGGACCTAGGCACTGCTGTCACTAAGCTGACCCCCACATTACAGCCCTGGTCGCGCACTGACGAGGCCACATTCCTCCAGCCTCTGCTCACTCCATTCTCATCTGTCACCAGCTGAGTGGGGAGGTGGGGCCTGAGGTGTGTGAGCAGGGACCAGGGGGAGGACAGATGCCTGGGGAGGTGGAAAGAGCACTGACTGGGAAGTGACCTGGGCCTCATTGGCCACTCAGAAGGCTCAGCCTCCCTCCCTCCCTCATCTGCAGGACATCAATAAACAGCTCACCTACCACGCAGGGCCCAAGGCACAGGTTGGGGCCAACGTGAGAAGCCCAAGCTACTCTGTGCTCACCACACCCAGGAGCTCAGAGGCCAGGCACACAGCTAGGACTTGGACTTCACCTTGTGGAGGAGCTGTGAGCGCCACAGAGACCGGCCTGGCTGGCTGGCTGACTTACCCTCAGGGCTTGCTCTTTCCCCGTCCAGGCTGGTTCCCCTGCTCTCAGGGCTGTCCTCAGTGCCCTTGACTTCCCGGAACAAGAACTCTGGGATCCCCTTCACCAACTGCACCAGGGCGGTGAGGTGCAGGCTGTGCCGAGGCTGTCTTCCTGTGGAGGGCCACAGTGAGCCCCGCGCCCCTGTCTGCTCAGCACCTGTCCCTCAGGCAGCCCTCCTGACCACAGGAGGAGCAGCCAGGAGAGCCTGATGTCCTGTGGGCTCAGATCAAGACATGTGCCTAAGGAACAGCCAGGATCGGGTGGGAGCAGTGTGTACAGGGACACAGGGGTCTCCTACACCTGTCTCTTTCTTAAGGGAATGTCAAGCAGGGCTGTCCCCACCAGCTAGCCCTCTGCCTTTCCTGGAATCCCCTAAACTCCCGGCCTTGCCCAATCTGGGCCCTGTGGAACAAGTCCACCATCAGAGGAGCCGCAGGCTGGCTGTGCAGGGGCGGCAGGGATAAGGGTTCCGCTGGGGGCAGGAGCAGGCCTGAGGTGGGTGTGCTCTCCAGGGTGAGCCCAGGTTCTTCTGGCACTGCTCGGTGGAATGGACAATATGTAACATGCTCCTAGTCCACAGCAGTGACAGGTCAAAGCCAGGGAGGGCTGCAGTAGGGAGGGCTAAATTAAGCATGTTGAGGTCACAGTGTCACCTGAGGACCATGAGTAAGAGGGGGAGCCCAGAGTCTGCCCATAGGACTTACCCTGGGGGCTTCCCTTTACAGGAGGCTCCTGCCCCTTATCACCTCGACTCCCTCCTCCCATAGCTGCTCCAGGCTCCGTAGGTGACAGAAAAGCAGAAAGGGGAAGCAGCTCATCTGTCCCTGGGGAGAAAAGCAAGGACAGTCACCCTGGAAACAGAATGGTCTCTCCGTCACAGAATCGAGTTGTGGCCCAGGCACCGCACACATCTGTGCAAGCATCTCTGTGCATGTTGGTGGGGCCACTCACACTCAAAGAACAGAGCAGCAGAACCTAGCAGTCACTGCAGACCTCACCAAATGGTACCCAGCGGGAACAGAAGGGAGGCCCGGCCCAGCACCCAGCTTTCAGGAGGTCCCTAAAACTGTTCCTTTCATAGATGAGAAGACTAAGGCCTGGTGGGGCCTGGAGTCCTGCAGTCCTGGGGCCTCCTGGACTCCAGCCTCCCCGCTTCCATTCTCAGGTGGTACTCGCCACCTGCACCCCAGGGAGGCCAGTGGAGGCATACCCACGGAGACCAGCGTCTCGTAGTTCTCCCGCATCACGTCTCGGTAGAACTCCCGCTGCTGCTCCTCCAGCAGCCTCCACTCCTCCTCGGAGAACCGCACGGCCAAGTCCATGAAGCTGATGGGCACCTGCGGGTGGTTGGGGAATGTTGGCAGTCCTGCCAGCAGGGCCAGCCCAGCTGCCCCCTCAGCTCAGTGCCCTGTACATTCTCTGGGTGAACACGGGGATGGAGGGGGAGCAGTGGGTGGGTGGGACCTGATACCAGAAGCAACAAGAATTGGCTAGAGACGGTACTGGCCGTCAGCTGGGTCCCTAGGATCTGGGAGAGGCAAGGAAAGAGCCTGCTCTCAAACCTGCAGAGGGAATGCAGCTATGGATATCTCAGTTCCAGGCTTCCAGACTCAGAAGGAATGAAGCTCTGTTGCTTTAAGACCTGGGTCTGTGGCTCCATCACAGCAGCCCAGGAAACTACAACAGTCTCATGTCGCCCAGTCCCTAGGCCCCACAAAAGTCAACCCTGGGATGAGAACTCTGGCCAGCCTGGACTTCACCTTGTGAGATTCTCTGAGTTAATAAGCACACTTCCCTGAGAATGTGAAGGCCTGAGATCCTAGTGCTGAGGATTAAAATAAAAAAGAGTCGACTGATAAAACCAATTAGTTATCAAGGGTGAGGATCCCTTATCTCAAACCTATGGGACCAGAAGTCTTTTGGATTTCCAGTTTGGGAATATTTGCTTCTACATAATGAGATAGACTTGGGACAGGACCCAAGTCTAAACCTGAAATTCATTTATGTTTCGTACGTATTTTATACACATGGCCTGAAGGTATTTTTTAACGTGCCTGCCTTTTGACTGTGACCTGGTACACGAGCTCAGGTGTGGGATTCTCCACATGTAGCATGATGCTCAAAAGTTTTGGATTTGGTAGCATTTTAGATTTCAGGATTTTTTATTAGGATTAGGGATGCACATCTATATAATTAAGAAAAAAAAAGTATTTTATTTATTTATTTATTTTTAAGCAGGGATGCTACAACACTCAGGAATCAAACAAAGTTTGACCCCCTCCCTAGGCCACTCTAGTAGCCTGTGACCCCTCTGACTTCAGACTCCCATCTTATGGCCACAGCTCTTCCACAGACCCTCTGTTGCCAGGCTGAGCCCAGCTCCCAGCTCTGCCAGGCACAGCCTGCCTCACTTTCCAGGTCCCGCTTGCCCTTTGAGGACTGATGTTCAACAGCGCATCCCCATGGGGACCCAGCAGTACACAGGCACTGAGCTCCATGAGGTGATGCCCACGAAGCCCTTCTGCATAGGTAGACTCTCCAGGAGACAGACAAAGAGACCCTTACTAGACAGGGGCCCAGGTGTCCGAGCAGAACCAGTCAAACTGTCTCTTTAGTCAGGTGAACAAAACCTCCAGCGCATGTTTGCATCAGGTCAACCAGAACAAAAACATCATCAATTTAAACATCACTAGATTCAAAGACTCACACGATGAGCTCACAACTGATTTATGGCTAGAATTCTTAACCAAGAAGAATCATTCTGAACCCATATATCAAATGATTGGCATGGGATTTGATTTTCGAGGAAGCTTGCCTGGGAATCTGCACTTCTCTTCCCAGGAAAATCCTGACTCAGAGAGCTCAACCCTGGGCAAGCCACAGTCTCAGGTGAGAGGTGTCCACACCTCTCCCTGTGCCTGGCTTCTGACAGTCCTGTTCTTTTTAGCAGCATAGTGAAGAACCTGCTGGGGCTAAGTTAAGATCCCACTGTCCCCTTGGAGAGACCTCCTTGGACCCCTGTCCAGTGACACTCCAGGCTGTAGTTCAGCTGTCCTCACCTTGCCATGCTCCCTACCCCAGGCCTGTTTCACCCTCTCTTCCTTGGGGATGGGAGTCTATTAGACACTGTGCTTCTTAGAGAAGTACCCAGAAGAAACCCCAGAACCCTGGACAGCTCTGGAAATGGAGTTCTTACACACCCAGTACTCATCCGATTTCTACACCTTCCACGCTCATCTTCGGCTACCCTGTGGCTTTTTAAGGTAAAAGCAACCCTTCTGTCTTAGTTTCTTTAAAATTTGTCATTCAGTAGATTTTAAAACAACCATGACACCCAGAAAATGGACAGGAAAGAATTTAAAGTTAAGGCAAAAATGAACTTTGTATAAATTAAGCAAAATGTAAGTTCTGAGAAGTATCCTTCTGGTTCAGAAATGAAGGCGAATTATGATTTGTAAGAAAGAAATTATAAAGAAAATGAAGACACTTGTAAAGCAAAGAAAACAGCTTCTGTCTTGTTTCATCTACTCAGTGATTTTAAAAACCGTCACGGCTACTAACTGGCAGCCTTGTCACTCACTCACTGTACTCCCCTGCCTGTCACCCTGACAGCTGACAGCTAGCATCATGCAGTCACACCCCCTGGTGCTGTGGGCACCATCCACAAACCCAGCTAGACAGTCTCTCTAGTGACTGCCTAGATGCACAACTTATCGCACGGCTTGTCACAATGCCAAGCAGGAAGAATGAAGTGCATCCGGTGTCAGGTGCATCTGGAGGAGGCCCCTGGGAAACCATCCGCCCGTTTCCACTGACCTCACTCCAGTGCCTCTGCTACTGCTGAGCCTGCTGTGTCCTCCCATTGTAATGAATCAGGTGTGAGCCTGTCGACCTGCTTGTCCTCCTAGGGATTCCTGAGCCCTGGATGCTCCTGGGGACCCCAGCACAGGGCTCCATTATGCTTGGCCACCTCATGCCCCACTGTGTTGGGCCCATCACTCCTCAGTCCTCCCCTCCATCTGCTGGGCCTCTGCTCTCCCTCTTCCTCCTAGAGACCTACTCAGCCAGGGCTTGGGAACCATGGGGGATTGCAGAGTGGGACACGGCCAAAAGGTCATCAAAGCAAGTCAGTATCCAACTAATGAAGGCTGCTGGGAGCTTCAGACTTGTCACGATAGGCCTAGGGTCCAAATGGACACAAATGCCACCTATGGACTGAGCAGGAACATTTTACCTGTATTCCTTGATTACTAAGTTTAAAGGTACAGATGCTGTGATGGCCAGCATGCATGTCCTTTAAAAGTAATATGGATTTAATTTAAAATATGTGAAAAAACTACAACCTAATGCACTGAGAATAGCACCATGTGGGGACTGGGGAAGTTAAAAAGAGGGGTCACAGAGTCAAGAAGGCTGGAAGCCCCTATTTGCAGTCCAACTGTCTCACTGCTGAAGTTAAAGCAAGTGGGAACAGTTAACCACCTGAAGGAATAACCAGAGCAGTGGCACAGCAACATGTCGCTCAACAGTGCCAGGAGTGTACAGGTGTTGCATGTGGACCTTTCGGGGGACTGGAGGAGCACAAAATAGGTGGAGACGGGTCAACAGCAATGCATGCTACCTGAAGAGAGGGCGTGCCAACAGAGTGGCACTGTCTCATGTGCCTTGACCAGGCAGCAGGCATGCTCTGCCTGCATTGCAGAGCTCTTCCTGAATGGCAGTGGACATTTCGGCCATTCCAGCTCTGCACTGGAGCAGACCTGCATGCTCCCCAAGCAGCTCTGTGTCAGGACCAGGCTTTCTGTGCAGATTCCACTGCAGGTGGTGCTATGGTGTGAGTGTGACCCCCCAAGTCCATGTGTTGGACACCCCACCCCTAGCTCAAGTGTTGAGAGGTGGAAACTTTATGACGTCATCAGGCCAAGAACAGACTGATGCCACTGTTGTGGGAGCGGGTTAATGACCTTGGGATTGTTTCCTGGTAAAAGGCTGGGTTCAGCCCCTTGCTCTTTCTCTCTTGCCCTTCCCCCTTCCACAAGAGCCAGATCCCGGTCCCTTGATCTTAGACTTGTGATCTCCCAAAACGGTGAAGTAAATCTTTGTTCTTTATAAATTGCCCTGTCAGGTGTTCTGGTATAGCAGCACAAAACAAACAAGACAGGTGGCCGAAGACTTAATTGGCCACCATTTATTTCCAGTTTGATTGTCAGTTCTATTTTTCACTGAAGCAATTGGCTTAATCTGTGTCTTAGTCCATTTCTGTTTCTGTAATAGAATACCTGAGACTGAGCGATTTGCAAAGAAAAGACGTTTATTTTTTACAGTTCTAGAGGCTGGAAACTCCATACTCGAGGGCATCTGCTGAGGGCTTCTTGCTGCATCATAACCTAATGCAGGGCATAATATGGTGAGGGGGCTGGCACTCTCTCTTTCTCTCCCTCTCTCTTTCATACAAGGCCGCTCTCTGATAACCACTAATCCATGAATAGAGTAATTCATTCACAGGGACAGAGCCCTCAGACCCAATCACCTCCCCAAATTTGCACCTCTCAAATGGCATTTGACTTTAGGAATTAAGTTTCCAACACATGAAATTTGGGAGAAACCCTTAAATCACAGCATCCTGATTTATCTGTCTTCTGTGAGTTTGATAACTCACAGTTGAGTTGATAACTCAAAGTTGATTCTCCTGGGAACCATAACCTAGGGTTGCAATGAACAACATTCAGATTAGTTATGGGATTTTAGCCAAACTACTAAATCCATTTGAGCCTTAACAAACTCATCTATAACACTGGGATCACAACATCCTACCTCATAGGGATGATATGGAGACAAAAATCAATTGATATAAGAAAAATGCCTAAAATAAATGCTGACTGATCTGCAGCCAGATCTGCCTGCTAATATCCACCTGCAGGGCACAGCCTGCCACCTCTGGCTCTTCCACACACTACTCCTAACCTCCCAGGAACTCTTTATCGCCAGGCTAAATATATATATCTGGCTTTTTTAGACATCTGTGAGCAATGCTTTCCAGAGGTCCCCCCACCTCAGCTTCAAGATGGACTCCTGGGTGATGGAGGTATAAAGTGCGAATGGGAACTGACTGTGGCCTGGGTAAGTGCTCCTGTCAAAGGCTTCTCAGGGTTCTGAGTTTAAGAAGAGTGAGCAGCACGCGCGCGCGTGTGTGTATATACAAGTAAGTATGCAAACACTCATCTTCAGAGAAGAAAAGCCACTGTCCTCTTTGTGCTCAACCTTGCTCTCCTCCCCCAACCAACACAGCAAAGCTTTTGGGGCTGATCCAGGCCTACTGTAGCTCTCTCTTAAAACATCCCTTCTACTGCATGACTAGTCC